ATCTGGAAGCCTACCTTCCCTAGGTAGAGATTTCAGGAAAAGCAATATTTGAGGCACTGGTAGTCAGCATTAATCAAGAGAAAATGAGTTTTTTTATTGAAATAGAATTAAGGTTATCATAGCAACTTTGTTTTTATTTTTTCTTCCACAAGTCAAACATTATCACAATTGCATCTTTCAATCATTATTGTTTATAATGTTTATAACAAATATAAACTATTTCTGTAATCTGCAATGCCATTTATTTAACAGTTGCTGTAGACTGTAGTATTACCTTACAATGATAGGTAATTTTATTTTTTTATTTTTTTAAAAGATTTTATTTATTTATTTGACAGAGAGAGAGACAGCAACATAGGGAACACAAGCAGGGGGAGCAGGAGAGGGAGAAGCAGGCTTCCCACTGAGCAGGGAGCCTGATGCAGGCTCAATCCCAGAACTCTGGGATCATGACCTGAGCCAAAGGCGGACGCTTAACGACTGAGTCATCCAGGCACCCCCAATGTTAGATAATTTTAAAATACTCTTTATTTTGAAATAATTTCTAACTTCAACTTCTGCCTAGTTCTATTTTGACACCTTAGTGCGTTATATTACAGATATTTGTTTACTCAGTCTGCTTCTATATAAGACTATGATTTCTTTGCATTCTCATTCCCTGGTTTGTATCTCTTACATAAAATAAACTCAAAGAATAAAATGATTAACTCATTATTTGCAAGATGGAAAATTGAAGTCCTGAGTTTTCAATAGTTTTTTGCTCTAAATTCCTTATTGATATCCCAACAATTTCAACTTTTAATTTAAAAATTTAATAATTGACAGTAAAAACATTTTTTAAATGCCTACTTGAAACCTCTTACAGATAGTTATATAATTTTTCATTTTAGTAACATGTAGTCCTCTTTTGCTGTTTATCCTGCTATGGTCTTATTTACTATATCACTTATATATGTTGTATAATCTGAATTAAGTTAAATATCATTAGTATTTTCATCATGCAATCATGGCACTTTAAATCTAGGAAGTAATTCTCAAATCAAGGTTTGAACACTATTTCCATTAGCAAGAATAAATAGTAATAGTAAAGGGTTTAAATGTAGAGTTTTTAATAAAATCCGTTGGGCTGAATTAAGTTATTTTAAAATAGAAACCAGAATGTCATTTATTAATTTGTACTTAAGACAGGAAATATCCTCAAGTATCTAGAATATGTAAGTGCCTTATTTGTGATACTCTCTTTTCTTTTTTTCTTTTTTCTTTTCTTTTTTTTCAGTTAACAAGCAGTTTGTTTTATTTTTAAATCTAGGATTAGATACTTGGTTTCACCAGATTATTTTTCAGTAATTTTTGAGGTGACCATATGAAGTCCGACAGTGTGATACCTCCAGCTTTGGTTTTCTTTTTCAACATTCTTTTGGCTATTAAGGCTCTTTTCTGGTTCCATACAAATCTCAGGATTATTTGTTCCAGCTCTGTGAGAAGAGTTGATGTTATTTTGATAGGGATTGCTTTGAATGTATAGATTGCTATAGGTAGCAGAGACATTTTAACAATATTTGTTCTTCCAATGAATGAGCATGGAACGTTTTTCCATTTCTTTGTGTCTTCCTCAATTTCTTTCATGAGTGTTCTATAGTTTTCTGAGTACAGCTCCTTTGCCTCTTTGGTTAGGTTTATTCCTAGCTATCGTAGATTTTGGGTGCAATTGTAAATGGGATCGACTTCTTAATTTCTCTTTCTTCTGGATCTCGTTGGTGTATAGATATGCAACTGATTTCTGTGCATTGATTTTATATCCTGCCACATTGCTGAATTCCTATAGGAGTTCTAGCAATTATGGGGTGGAGAATTTGGGTTCTCTACTTAGAGTACCATGTCATCTGCAAAGAGTCAGTGTTTGACTTCTTTGCCAATTTGGATGCCTTTTATTTCTTTTTGCTGTCTGATTGCTGAGGTTAGGATTTCTGGTACTATGTTGAACAACATTGGTGAGAGTGGACATCCCTATCGTGTTCCTGACCTTAGGGGAAAAGCTCCGTTTTTCCCCATTGAGAATGATATTCACTGTGGGCTTTTCATATATGGCTCTTAAATATTGAGGTGTGTTTCTTCTATCCCTACACAGTGAAGAGTTTTAATCAAGAAAGGATGTTGTACTTTGTCAAATGCTTTTTCTGGTTCTGTTGAGAGAATCATATGGTTCTTGTCCTTTCTTTCATGTAGTGTATCACATTGATTGATTTGTGGATGTTGAACCAACTTTACAGCCCAGGAATACATAAAATAAAGGGGAAAAAATTAAAATTGAAAGACTAAAGAATTGTGGGGGGAAAAATGAATTCTATATGCTATATTCCCCTAGCACTGGAGTTTTGCAGTTCTAAATGATCGATAAACTTGATCTTGGCTGGATGTTCTTGCTGATCTTCTGGGGGAGAGGCCTGTCGTGGTGATTTTCAAGTGTGTTTGTCCTGGGTAGAATTGTACCACCCTTCCCAGGGGGCTAGGCTAAGTAATCTGCTCCAGATTGTTTTTTATGGTTTTTGTTCCCTGAAGGCTTTCTGCACAGCTCTAGAGGATGAGAATGAAAATGGTGGCCTCCAAATCTCCAGCCCCAGAGCCGAGAGCTCTGGGCCCCACTTCTCAGTGTGCCCTGGGGTAAATGCAGTCAATCACTCCTGTCTCCCTGGACTCTGTCTGCACTCTGCGCTCACCCAGTCTGAGACCGAGCATTTCTATGTCAGGCACATGACCCTATTTTGAGTCTCCAAACCCTGCAGACTCCTGTGGTGCCCTCCTCCCAGAGTAGGAAAGGGAGTCTCACCAGTTCTGCCGCTTTTTGGGCCCCTGTTTGAAGAGTGGTCAGCTGACTGTGCCATGGTTCGTGGTATGTGGCAGCCCTGAGCAGAAAGCCCACTCCTGGGCTCACTGAGTGTATCCGGCTTCCCTGCTCCAATGCCTGGTAACTCAGTTATACTCAAGCACCCCCGGTCTTCCTGTGACCCCCAAGGATCCTAAGACCACACTGTTCCACCTAGGATTCCGCCCTGCTTTGCCACCTGAGCACCTTTCAGGCAAAGGACATCTCTCACCACAGCCGACTTCTAAAAGTTCCGATTTTGCACTCTGCTGCTATATCACTTTTTGGTGCTAGCTTATGGAGGCTTCCTCCCCCTGCGGTTTATCTTCCCGTAAATCTCCTTGGATTCACTTCTCTGCACCTCCTACCTTATAGAAAGTGGTTGCTTTTCTATTTTTAGAGTTCCATCTATTCTTTTTTTTTTAATTTTATTTATTTATTTGACAGAGAGAGAGATAGCAAGAGCAGGAACACAAGCAGGGGGAGTGGGAGAAGCAGGCTTCCTGCCGAGTAGGGAGCCCGATGTGGGACTCGATCCCAGGACCCTGGGATCATGACCTGAGCCAAAGGCAGACGCTTAACCACTGAGCCACCCAGGCGCCCTAGAGTTGCATCTATTCTTTTTTTAGATCTCTGGTTGAGTTTGCAGGTGTTCAGAATGATTTGATAGCTATCTAGGTGAATTCCTGGGACCAGATTAAACTAAGATCTCCTACTCCTCCACTATCTTGGACTGATACTCTCTTTTCTGATATTGAAGTATTTATAAAGTTAAATAAGTAGTCAGAAAGTTCCTTTTTAAGCACTGAATTTGAGTAATGGTAGATAGGTAATCTTGATGTTTAAGAGCTTAGAGTACCTGATAGATACATGATAGTAGTCACAAATGCAAGCTATATGTGTAATTTAAAAGTTTTTGTAGTCACATTTTAAAAACTAAAAGCAGCAGATGAAGTTAATTTTAAAACTATAGCTTAATTCAATATATCCACCATATTATTTTAAAATGTATTCAGTATTTTTTAATTAGCCTTTTTTTATACTAAGTACTTTAAATCTGGTACATATTTTACACTTAATGTGCATCTCAGTTACATCCTTCAATTACTTGTGGAAATTACTGAATCACCCTGTATCTCAATATCCCAATTTTTACAATGGCAACTGTTATGAGAATTAAATTAGGGGCACCTGGGTGACTCAGTAGTTAACCGTCTGCCTTCAGCTCAGGTCATGATCCCAGCCTCCTGGGATCAAGCCCTGCATCGGGTTCCCTGCTCATGGGGAAGCCTGCTTCTCCCTCTCCCGCTCCCCCTGCTTTTGTTCTCTCTCTCACTATATCTCTCTCTGTCAAATAAATAAATAAAATCTTCTTTAAAAAAAGAATTAAATTAGATAATATATAACATGTCTGGCAATTGATAAGTGTTAAATAATTCTTAGCTACTTTTTTAAAAAAACATTTTCAAACAGGTGATCATGGCAGTAATGACTTCAGTGCCTTAAGGCAAAGATCATATTTTAGGGATTAAATTGTAACCCTTAAACACTCATCTCTTTTCCTTGGACAGTGCTGGACACACACACATCTCTCCAAGTCCTTGTTTAAATTACTTTTAAAAAGAAGCAAAATCATTATTGGTTCATCAATTGTGACTCACGTACAACACTAATATAAGATGTTAATAACAAGGAAAACTGGTGGGGCATCTGGGAAATAAACCTCTTTACTTTCTACTCAATTTTTCTGTAAATTCAAAACTACTCTATAAAAAGTAAATTATGTTTATTAAAAACAAACCAAAAAGGCAAATATCATATCTGTTATTAGTTCTTGCTACATCTTAGTTGTGACAGAATCCATCAGTAAAAGTGGTAACAATACTAAAAGTATCAATGAGAAGTTTATAGTTAAAAATATAACTTAATGTTTCCTCTTTTAGTAGTCATTCATTATCCACCTCTTTTTAAGTAACATATGGAAAACTTAAGCATGGAAAGGTCATTTTTATTCCATGGTCATTGGGGCGGGCAATGGGCAATTATTGGTGGCATTCTGATGCTAATGGCAGAAATACTCCATATATTTTTATAGACTATTGCCAGTTTTGAGAATATTTTCTTTTCCTAATTTCAGGTTGGGTGGGACTATATCAGCATACAAGATAGTACCAGATGAAATAGAAGAAATCAAGGTATAGTATGCCATTTTTCATCTCTAAGAAGACTTAGTATCTTGCTGGGTAGGTGGGGGAAGGATTGCTTTTTCTTTATACTATTGAATGTTTGGGTGTGTTGGGATCTCATTTAATTCACTTATCTATTTTAATTAAAAAATATAAGGTAACCCCCATCAGATTTCAATCACCATTATCAATGCATTTCTTGAAAATTATTTGGAAGATTAAAAAGGAACACTTCATGTGAAATTCATTGAAAATCTACTTAAGAAACACTATGTATAGCATTAGTGTGCATAATGGATTATCTTTCTATCTTGTTTTAATTTATTTTCCCTGTAGGCTTTCACTAATTATAAGTACCAATCTTCTAGAAAATATTTTTTCTGGTTCCACTGAAAACACAGTATGCCAATTGCAATTTAAAGTCTGTAGTACATGGGGCACCTGGGTGGCTCAGTCGTTAAGTGTCTGCCTTTGGCTCAGGTCATGATCCCAGCGTCCTGGGATCAAGGCCCGCATCAGCTCCCTGCTCAGCAGGAAGCCTGCTTCTCCCTCTCCTGCTCCCCTTGCTTGTATTCCTTCTCTTGCTGTGTCTCTCTCTCTGTCAAATAAATAAATAAATAAATCTTTAAAAAAATAAAATAAAATTTATAGTACATTAAATGAAAACTTGACCTTACTCTTTGAAAATTACATAATCTGCATTCTTCTGTTGTTAACATTTTACCCAATCCTATGGACTGTTAGTCTTCTGGCATATCATGTGGCCCTTCCCCAAGAGCAATTTACAATCTAATCAGAACTGAACTTATTATCTATTATATAAATAAAATTTAACAACTTGATAGCAGTAGTCAAGGATAGCAATACTGAGTTAAATTGTTAACAATATTTAAAGATCCAAACAAATCATCAAGCTTAATTTAATCAAGCTTTCCAAAATCAGGTTCAATAAATTCAAATCTTAGTCAATAATCATTCATTTGCTCACATTATTTTCAAATCAGTTAATGTCATTGGTCTTTATTATGTAATATACTATTAGTTTCAATATGTCTGGTGTTCTGTATAGCCAATATCAGAAATTAATCCAATAATTATATTCTAGCAGGGGAAAAAAAAAACAGGAGTGTGAAAAGACCCATTCCAACTTTATATATATTCATAAAATACTTTGGTTGACAGAAACCTTAAGTCCAATCCAGCTTGTGTTGCTATTAACTTAAAGAGGAGACATAAGAGAAGGAATAAGTTTGAGAGGAAAGAGGGTAAGTTTTGGACTTATAAATTTGAGGTCCCTCTCAGATAACCAAATACCCATTAAGGCATTGGTTAAATCAGCCAGAACCTCAGAAGAAAGATAATTTTATCTTTCAGTTGATACTGGGATTTGTCCTTATCCAAGAATTACTTGAGAGCATGCTAGTTAATGGAATCACCTAAAAAAGCTCTATGAAGTAATAGCAGTAGACCAAAACTGTTGACCTGTCCAAGAACCTGTCCAAGGATTCATATGTTTTTTTTATTAGTTTAATTAATTAGAAGAAACATTGCTATGTTTTATAGTGACTTTTCTCTAAAGAAATAATTTTTTCATTGTGTTTTTTGAAATTCTAGAATTATAAGAGTTGTCCCTCAGGAGATTCCTTCAAAAAAGCATGATTCATGATGACATTACTATATGATTTTTTAAAATTAATTACTGGAATTATATCTAAAACAGCTTCAGAGAGTTTGAAGCCTGAGGCATAAAAGATATGAAATTGATTCTTGTTTCAAAAGTGTTAGAAGAAAACTTGCTATAAAATATTTCATCAGCATTTATTTGATGGCACCATTATCATTTTCAACTGAAATCAGATATAATCTTTTTGTTTTGATTGGAGAAAATGTGAAACATCTGGTTGTAATGTTCATTTTAGTTGGCAAATAACTGAGTAATTTTAAATTATCTGAATAGTACAATTGAGTTTAAATTTGAAATACATCCACAATATACCATGTATAAATAAATATACATGTGTATTTTTATTATTAAAATATGATTGATTAATAAAACATAATTCAATTTTTACAAAGTATGGTAATCTTCACAATATTTCTAGCACCAGAAATTATTATTTAGTTCATACATAGTTTAAATTAAGTATTTGTTGATTGATTACAATAAATCACCACATAGCGGATGGATGGCCAAAAGCTTAAGAGGTAAAGTGCAAATTCATTCCTGGCCCAATCATGACCATCTGTTCCACCCAATATCCTGAGTTCTTATTATTTCATTTAGTTTTATTTTTATACACATCCCTAAATATTATAATTTATTTGTGTTTCTCTTTGAATTTTATATGAATTGAATCACAATGTATACATTCTCTTGTGCCTTCTTTGGTTCAACACTGTGAGATTTATTCATATTGTTATCTATAGCTAAAATTTTGGGGGGGTTTGTTATTATTATTATTTTCCTCTGTAAAATACTCCATTGTGCCACAAATTATTGAGACATCCTACTCTTGAGGGACATTCACCTTGCTTCCATCTGGAGCTATTATGAAAAATGATGGTATAAAATCTTATAAAAGCATCCTGTGTAAGAGTTTCTTTGAGGTGTATACTGAAAAATGGAATTCCTGAGTTTTAAATAATGTGTATTTTCAACTTTTCTGTATGAAATCGAACTGTTTTCCAAATAGTTATGGCAGGTATACTACCACCTTGGGTGTATTTATTTTAAATAGAAATGTTTAGATATTCTTTATCTGTAATTTATATTGGTATAAATTTATTTTTATATATGGGATGACTAAACTTACAAAATATTTTTCAAATGTATCTTTATTTTCCCAGCCCAATTTATTGAAAAAAACAAAAAAACAAATTGTCCCCCACTGGTTTGAATTGCCTCATTTATTATATAATAAATTTTCATATGCCTTGATACACACATACACATACATAAGTCTGTCTTTTCCTGAACTTTTGATTCACCTATCTATTTATTCCATTGCTAGCACCATACTGTTTTGGTTATAGTGCTTTTTTTAACATAATAAGAAAGGTTTGTGGGGTTTTTTTTATACTGTTGACTCATATATTAATTGCTTCAGGTAATATTATAGTAAGTTTATCAAGTTCCAAAAGTATCCCTACTGAGGAAACTTGTGGTGCTAGCCAAATACAGTAGCTCTGTTCTTCCCAAATCTTTTCTTTAACGACTAAAAATTCCTGGACATTGTAAAATAAACAAGCATAGAAAGACTCTGAAGGAGGAAGAAGAAATCAGACTTTCTAAGGACTTCAGGACTTGAGGAATGACACAGCAATGAGTTAGCTGGGTTTCCTTTTTGCCTCCTATTTACTCTCAACAGGACACTGATGAAGGCTCCAATCTGGAAACACCAACAGGCACAGACAAAACAAAACAAAACAAAAACACTTAGGAAATCCTGTCATTCAAGCCATAGGACCCAGGATAGGGGTGGACTAACAGAACAAAAGCCTTTGGCAATACTCACCTTACTCCAGCCAAACACCAATGGGAAAACTACTTAGTTCCCCCACAGTTTTAGCACAGCCAAGCAGGAAGCTGATCTTCCACCTCACCCCTGCTACCCACAGAAGCAGATGGCAAAGCTTTGAATCCCTCCCCTGGTAGTGTTTATTGGCAGGACAGGTGGGGAGCTGTTCAGTCTCCCACACTCCCACAAAATAGACAGTGCTCTGATTTCCCTGCTAGGATAGGATCTTCCATCAGCTCAGGGAAAACAGGCTGTGTTCTGCTTTCTATGACACGATATTGTTAGTGGACTCCAGTGATGAGCTGAGTCTCTACCTCCATCCAGCAGCAGTAAGACTAAAGAGACCACGCACGGTAGAGCTACTCACCACTCTCCTTTACCTTCCCTTTCCTGTGTCTCTGAGGCCTATAAGGGAGATGTGACTCCATCCCTGTCTGCATCAATAAGGCTGAATGAGATGGGGATAATTGATATTCCATTCTTAGTAAGTTTTAACCTTCTACTTCCCCTCTTGGTGTCAGCGGGGCCCAGCAGGGAGGTGAACATCTACCCCTACCAACAATGTGAAGCAAAGTGTGCCCCACTTTTTGGCCAAGAGAGGACCTAAACTTCTACCCTACTGTCTTTAATGAAGCAATATAAATGAGTGCCTCAATTTTGCCAGAGTGGTGTCAGTGGGACCCAGAAAGAAGCTGAACATATATATTTATATTGCCCTCATACAATATTATAACAAAGGGACATCTGCTAAAAAAGATTAAATAAGATTGAGAGTTTCATAATATCCAAAATGTCCTGGGTACAGTAAAAAATCATACCAAGAACAAGGAAAATCACAACTTCGGGGGGGGGGGAAACAGTCAACAGATAACAACACAAAGATGAATCAGATGTTAGAATTATCTGACAAAGATTTCAAAGCAGTTATCATAAAAATGCTTCAACAAGCAATTACTAATTTTCTTGAAACAAATGAAAATAGAAATTACAAAAAGGAACAAAATGTTAATTACAGAACTGAAAAGTACAATCACCAATATAAATGGCTGATTGGGGGAGGGTAGTGGAAAACAGTTGTGCCAGAAGGAAGTGGAACAACATTTTTCAAGTGCTGATATAAAGAACTGTCAATCACAAAGTCCAAATCCAGTGAAATTATTCTTCAGTAATCAAAGGGAAATGAGGACACATTCAAACAAAAGAAAACTTAAAGAATTTGTCTCGAAAAAACCTACCCTGTATGAATGGATAAATAAATTCTCCAAAGAGAATTGGAGAGGAAATGAAAAAACTTAAGAAATAAAAGGAGGAGAAAAGGAAAATGATAACAGAAAAATGCTTGAAACTTCAGAAAGGAAAGAAAAACAGCAGAATAGATAAATATAGTAGACTGTCTTTTCTTATGGTTTTCTTAAGTCACATTTGACGGTTGAAGCAAAAATTTTAACACTGTATGATGTGGTGCACAATGCATGTAGAGCAAATAACACA